TCATCGCAGTCAGAGAAGCATGAGGAGGCACGGGTACTCCTGCAGGAGAAAGACCAGTACAGGGAGCAGGTCAGAAAGCTGACTGAGCAAATAGACAGGCTGGAGCTTCTGCTGCTGAGGTCACAGGGGGAGGAGCTACAGCTGAGGACACGCCTCCGCAGAATCACTTCCAACTCTCATCAGGTGAGGAGCAGCTGGAGGAGCTGGAGGAGGAGGGATTTTATGAAGGTGAAGTATTGAGGTAATAACACCGGCTTCTGTCCTCAGTGTGAAAGGAGTGTGAGCAGCGAGGAAGAGGAGGAGCCTCCAAAGAGCACTGCTAAAGGTCAGTCATGTCATGTGATGAGATGACACAGGGTAATGTGAGGTGATGTCATGTGCAGTGGTTTTGTGTGAACAGGCAGCAGTGAGGAGGTTCGCAGCGGGACTTCGGGGGAGAACGACGAGGCTCAGCGGCAGCAGAATGACTCTTCAGGAGAAATCGTCGAGCCTGGCTTCAAATCCAGTAATACTGTATCATGGGTAATTTCTACGTGCCTTATTCACACTGCTAATTTAACTCATGGTGTTTGGAAGAGACTTCAAAGCCTGTCTGTTCGTCTACAGGAGGAGGAGCAAGCAGAAGTCTGTTTTAGAGGTCGTTCAAACTTTGTTTACCGCAGGTTAGTACTGGCTTTTTAAAACTTTATTTCTATACATCTGTACATGCATACAGTGTGAGTATGACTGTGTTCTTATTTCCAACAGGAAGCGAGCCCTCAGGTCAAAGCTCAACAGTACAGACTATATAGCCTGTAACCTCGACGACAGCAGCGACATCACCGACTCTGACTGATGTGACGCCATGAATGTATTTAACGTTAAATGCATGGCATATTTTTTACCAACCTGCAGCTCAAAGTGCTCCATATGGCAACACCAAAACAACTCTAAGAAGCAGCATTTAAGTTTTACTTCAGACAAATTAAGACAACATATAGCTGTTTATTTTTAACACAAGAATTCCTAATAGGACTTAAAGAAAAGAAATGTAAACTTAATAGCAACAATACATCACAACTGTCAACCTAAAAACTGAAGGCCAGATTTACTGAAGGATGCAAGATTGTGTGATGCTGCATTTGCAAAAGTGCAGAGATGGGAGAGGAAATTCTGCATCTCACTTGTTAACGTCGCTCATTTAAAAACTAGATCCAGCCAGTTTATTTCAGTAATGAGAAATGAACCAAGAGCAGCACAACCTATTGAGTCAAAAGGAGCCGAACTGATGAACCTGATGAGGGTTTTGTGCTGCTGCAGACCGTTAGAAAATCTGGCCCTAATGGGGAGTTGACAGAGGAAGCAGTATGTAGAAATTTTGTAGCAGACGATTGGTCACGAGTAGACGTTCCAGCTTCAAGCTGCTTAGGTACGTCGCTGAGGTATTTACCACCCTTTCATTTGTGAATTAGCAGCATCTTTGGATTCACCGGCAGTCATTTAAAACGCTCAGCTTGAAGTTGAGAAAAGTTTAACTCAGACCCGCCCACTGCGCATCGCCAAAGGTTATTTCATCTTGACATAACTTAATTTCATTGACTTTCTATTATCCCTGGTGGTCATGTCACTTCTAGACACTTTTCTGGATTCCCCTTATAACTATAATATATGTATTAATATTTCACATTAAACGCGGGAAATTTTCCTTTAAAATCATTGACAGAGATCATAATTATGATATAACGAGGTGGGATATTCCACAGTTAAGGCGTATCAAAACAGAAGGTGCTTTCACCTGGTGTAGAAGATGGATGCACCCAATGAGACATCACTTCTAGGTTGGTGAAGCCTTCAACTGAGCATTTTGATGAAAAAAACCCCACAAAAACAAATGCCACGTGCTCATTGGCTGACAACTTGTGATTTTCTTATTGATTTTTACACAACTGGAAGTCTTTTTGCAACCAGAGAAGTCGCCCCCTCCTGGCCATTAGAAATAATTCAGGCACTTTCATGAAGATTTGTCCAACTTTAACATACAGTCTATGGAATGGACACATTTATTGCTTTTCCCATAGTTGACAATTCCACAAGAAATGACTCTTACTGATGCTAAAAACTTTGTTCCTAACAAAATTGTTGTGTCCAAAGTTGAAACCACTGCTACTGGTGACTATGGGAAGGGCAAATGCAGCTTACAGATTCGGTCTGCCATGATTTTCACCAAGTCAGAATTGGCTCTGCACTGGCACTGTTTCTGGTAGCACACTAGTTAAACTAGTGTCTATGATGTATGTAGTTATGTGATCAGTGAGAAGAGCGATGAGAAGATGCGGTATGTTGGGTTGATGCAGAGATGTAAAGTTGTACATCCTATGGTTTCTAGTTATTTTAAATAATCTTTCCAAGTTAAAGCATGAAAGCTTTAACTTTACATGCCATTGCTCTCTGAGATACGATCCCAAAGACAAAAAGAACTCTCCGCCTGCTAAATAAGATTTCAACTCAGGAAAAGCACAGAAAGACCAGACCATGACCAAACAGTGGATCCAAATCTGCTCAGATTTCTAAAAATTGACAGAGCTTTCAGTTTCCAATTGAATCTGAAGTTGGCTTTTTCTTCACCTAGAAGTTAATTTTTTCACTGTAACATTTCATGCTCTGAAATCAGGAAACTTGCAGTGTTTGTCGAAATGATTTGTTTTGTTCAATACAAAAAGTGCTACCTGGAAGCCGGAGAAAATCTCAGATTCCAGACTCTGATACTTCATTTAGACTTTGCTACATATTAATTGAATTGTTATTATAAATAATGAAGCGATGCTTAGTATACAGTATTTACTTTGTATAAGTAGGCTTGACATCAGCGGCTGTGAACCTGGAGGTTGTTGTTTTTGTTCTTGTTTCTTTCACTAGCTTTAGGGAGAGATCCTGGTTTAAAATATGATTTGAAATTGAAACTGGTCTCACTTTACTATTTTGATGAATGTTGCTGGACACCAAAATCATTATGTCTGCAGAATGCAGTTAGCGTGTCTTATCTGCTATGATTGAATACATAATGCAACATAAATGCTATAAAATTCTAATTGATATCATTACCATTATTTTAAACACAAATTATTGACATTATAAAACCAATTAAAACTTTACTAATGGCTTTTAAAAATTCTTAATTAAAAATTACAATTAACTTTGAATAATTAGGTACTGAAGGTAAATTAAATAGGTATTATTTATTAACAATGTTTATTTTTCTTTTTTTTTGTCTGAATGTCACTTTCCATGGCATTCAAACACCCCAATAACCCATATTTTTTTATTGATGACTTTTGTTGCAGTGTACATAATCTGATTTTTCTTCTTTACTTCTGTCTATATGTAATTTACAGTGTGGCTTGTCTTTATTATGAACATGATAAAAGTTTCAAATAATGACAGTGATGTGTAGAAGTAATGCCTGCGAGCCAAAGTTCTGGATTATGTTTTCAGCTTCCTTTTTTCTTTTTCTTTTTTTGGCTTCCATCACAAACTGATGTCAGCTTGTCACAAATTTATTTATATAGTAACCTGCAGCAGGTACAGAATGCCTACAAACTACAGACAGTACAGATCATCAGCACAGGCGCTGCTGTTCAGAAGGCCTCCAGAAGCCGTTGAAACAGGGAGGCTCAGTCTTTTTGAGAAGGAAGAACTTAAATAAAATTAAACAAAAAAAAAAAGGTGATCTTGTAGTGGAAACCCAGAATAAAAACATAGAGCCAAGCATGAGCAGAACAGGCAACCAAAATAATCTGATTTCATTTTTGTGAAGTTTGATTTAAGAACTTTGTTAAAATTCATTTTACTGTGGGATTTAAAGAATTTATAAATTGAGCTTGATGTCATAAAACATTTTTCAAAACTCTCAGTTTCTTGTTATTCCTATTTAATTTCTTAAAAGTTTGATTTTTGTATGAAGTGTTGTGGATGTTAAATTATTAGAATCAGGATATAACTTTTGTTTTGTTTTGCCCAGAAGAACATATTGTATTTTTGTCTTTTTTCAGTATTTAATCAATCAAGAAGATTAATTTTTCTATTTAATTAGCAGCAAATGTTCAATAAAGCACAGTTAATCACTGAGGGAGAGAATATGATCAGCTCTTGCACTGATTTTTCAGTTTTCTTCTGTTGCTGATGAATTTTCAGATTTTGACAGGTGATCCAATATTTTCTTCAGAGCTCCTGATCTCTCCTGATAGAGTGAATCTCCTCCACCTCAGGATATCTGACAGTAAGGCTCCTGCTCCGCTTTACAGCTCCTAATTTTAACAGGAGTCTGTATGACTCGCTTCTGGAGCCAGCCTCAAGAGGTCATCGGAGGTGTTTTCTTCACAATTCCATGGAGAGGTGGTGTGGAGGGTCAGAGGATCTTTTGTTTTTCACTCTCTGGTTTTGGAGACCAGCAAAGTTTACTCTCCAGCTTTTTATGTTCACTTTCAGCTACATTTTGGAACAGTAATAACTACAGCATGTAGTATTTCAGCTACAGTAGGTTTGCTTTCTAGCAATTTTCAAATAATTTACATAAATGTGAAAAAAAAAAATGAAATACAGAACTGATGAGTGACACAGTCTGAAGAAAAGGTCAACTGGAGCTGAGCTCTTTGAGGAACCTCAAACTGGATGTTAGGACTTTATTGTTTTACTGCAGTTTGAGGAACCATCTCGACACATGGACGAGGTCGCGGTGCTTCCGTTTATGACAATGTTTATTTAAAGGGACAGTTGGCCCAAATAACTAAAGCTGTGTTTTTCTCGGTCTATCGCTTTGCTTGTCCATACTGGCTTTAGGTGCTTCGGTGCTACTTGCGTTTTACCTTCTTTTTACTCCTTCACACCAGGAAAGTGGTAAAAATGTAAGAAAAGTTTGATTTCTTGGAACTGCAAACAGAAGGCACATTTTTCCCGTTGACCCTGAACGCCACACAGCTTTCGTCCAAGTTACATTGTCATGGTGACGGGAAAAACGCTCAGCCCGAGCAGGTACATGGTTTAGTGTGTGTGACAACAGAAAGAAAGGTTATTAAACAGTGTTACTGTCAGCCTGGACTGAAGATTGCAGCAAGCCTCATCGTCATGTGTGAGAGCACCGCGGTTCCGAGCGGGGAAGTTTACCGGCAGCTGTTCGACGCTCAGGTGGGTTTGAGGTCACACTTTACCTGAACGCCGCAACAAAGAGATTTCATTTTCATTTATTTATTTATAAAGCACATTTAAAAACAACAGGGAGTTGACCAAAGTGCTGTACAAAATAACAATTAAACAATGACATTAACAACAACAACAGGTAAGAAAATTAAAAGAAAATTAGGATAAAATAATTGGTAACTCTCATACAGTTTCGAAAGCCAGAGTAAAAAAAAATGTTTTAAGATGCGATTTAAAAAGAGTAACAGTTGGGGCCTTTCTAATGTGGAGAGGTAGATCATCCCACATTTTCGGTGCCACAATCGGTGCCCGATCTCCTCTATGAACCATCCTAGACTTATGTAAGGTAAGGAGCAGGTGATGGCTTGATCGAAGGGCACTAGAGGGCGTATAAAGCTGCAATAGGTTGTAATAATAGTTGCTATTGTTGAAGCTACCCACGGGGGGCGCTCTGGAATCAATAAGATATACAGAGTAGAAGAAGAAGTTATCGTGGTAGAAAGAATAATAAACAGCTAGCTGAAGCTAGCACCAGGAGCAATTCTTGATGTTTTATTCATAGAGGAATAAGAACATTACATAGGTCAGACAAAAAGTCCGGTGCCTGGCCATTTAGCACTTTATAAGTCGAAAGTAAGATTTTGAATTTAATTCTAAAACGTACTGGAAGCCAATGAAGGGAAGCAAGCACCGGAGTAATATGTTGGTGTTTCTTCACACGAGTCAAAAGGCGAGCTGCAGCATTCTGTACAAGTTGGAGCCGGGCCAAGCTGGACTGACTGACACCCACATACAGTATAGTGAATTGCAGTAATCCAATTGAGATAAAACCCATCCATCCATCCTCATCCGCTTTATCCGAGGCTGGGTCGCGGGGGCAGCAGCCTAAGCAAAGAGGCCCAGACCTCCCTCTCCCCAGCCACCTCCTCCAGCTTATCCGGGGGAATACCAAGGCGTTCCCAGGCCAGCCGAGAGATATAATCTCTCCCGGGGCCTCTTCCCGGTGGGACATGCCTGGAACACCTCACCCAGGAGGCGCCCAGGGGGCATCCTTGTCAGATGCCCGAACCACCTCAGCTGGCTCCTTTCGATGTGGAGCTGCAGCTGCTCTACTCCGAGCCCCTCCCGGATGGCCGAACTTCTCACCCTATCTCTAAGGGAGAGGCCAGCCACCCTTCGGAGGAAGCTCATTTCTGCCGCTCGTATCCGCGATCTCGTTCTTTCGATCACTACCCACAGCTCGTGGCCATAGGTGAGGGTAGGGACGTAGATCGACCGGTAAATTGAGAGCTTCGCTTTTACACTCAGCTCCCTCTTCACCACGACGGACCGGTGCAGCGTCCGCATTACTGCAGCTGCAGCCCCAATCCGTCTGTCGATCTCCGGCTCCCTTCTCCCATCACTCGCGAACAAGACCCCGAGATACTTGAACTCCTCCACTTGGGGCAGGAACTCATCCCCGACCCGGAGTGGGCACTCCACCCTTTTCCGGCTGAGAACCATGGCCTCAGATTTGGAGGTGCTGATCCTCATTCCCGCTGCTTCACACTCGGCTGCGAACCGTTCCAGTGCGAGCTGGAGGCCCTCACCCGATGAAGCCAACAGAACCACATCATCTGCAAAAAGCAGAGATGAGATTCTGAGGCCACCAAAGCGAAAGCCCTCCGCCACTTGGCTGCGCCTAGAAATCCTGTCCATAAAAATTATGAACAGAACCGGAGACAAAGGGCAGCCCTGGCCTTAATGTTTTGAGATAAAACAAACGCATGAATTGCTCGTTCCAAGTTTCTAAAGGATAAAAAAGATCTCACTTTGGATCGGAGCCTTAATTTAAAAAAGGACCGCTGGACAACTGAATTAATTTGTTTCTTGAATGTAAGTATGCTATCCAAGAACATGTTAGCACATGTTAGGTTACATAATTCCAAATCTGGGGCATTGAAATTACAGCTTGGTCCAAAAACAATTACCTCAGTTTTATCCTCGTTGAAGGTAAGAAAATTTGAGGCCATCCAGGTTTTCTTTCTTCATCATATCTTTATTTACTTTTTCCTTTATACAAAAAACAAACAAACAAAAAAAGACAACAAAAGACAAAAACAATTACCACAACAACAACAGAGAGAAAAAACAAAACAAAAAAACAAACACAATAAGCAGTCTGAGACATGTAAACGAAAAACTAATACAATATATATAATTCGGTCTACCAGTCATTTACACATTTGTCCTGACAAACTCAACCCGCCATTGGAGTGGGGCTGCCCCTCTCACTATGGTTTTCTTCAGATCATCAGGTAAGTAATCCAATAGCGGGCGCCATATATCCAAAAAAATATCTTCATTGGCACTTAATTTGCACTCAGTCTTTCCATTGGTAAATCTCTAAAGATTTCTTTATACCATATTTGTTCAGAATTGGCATAAAGTTAAAAGATTAAAACTAATAAAAAAAATGTAAAAAGAGACTTTTTCCATTTGATTATATTTTACATGATGGATTATGCAGAAAGTAGAATAGGGCTGAAAGATCTATTGCTTTATCACCTATTCAGGTTGTAAAAAGTAACTAAGTAACGAATTACTTTTGAAAATAAGTAATCACCGAAGTAATGGGATTACTTTTTGGGGGGGGAAGTAATCAGTAATTAGTTACTGATTACTTTTTTCAAAGTAACTTGACCAACACTGGTGAATGATGCTGCAGAGCTCCAGCTGCCTGCCTGAACCAGATATGGAGGGAAGATTGAACTCACTCTTCCCTCCATATCTGGTTAAGTTTTACATTTTAAATATTATACATAAACTTGAAAAAGAAATTCTCATTAGCACAGAGCATTTGGGAGTCACCGAAGTACACATTTACAGCCATAGCAACACTAAACCATAAGGCTTGTTGCCGTTGCACATTGCACTTTGTTGATGATAAAATTTGGGCTGTGGTGTTTGTTTGTTTTTGTCTCTCTGTGTACGGACAGACTGCAAATCAATTTCCCATTGGGGACAATAAAATTACCATTGACCATTGATAACTGCCCCATGAACTGCAGACTGCAAAAAGAAAAGATATGAACATAACGATTGAAGTGTGCTGCTTGTTGCATTAATTACTGATTTTGCATGCATGCATTGATTTGATGAGGGTTAAGCATGTTTTAGAAAAAGCTGACACTTTCATACTTTGAATCATGGAGCAGAGGTAAACAAACCTTACTGACTCCTTCCCAGTAAGAAATCACAAACAGAGGCCTCAAGCAGTGGGATTTGATGCTGCAGTAGGAGCACTGTGAGCGCAGGAGGTGTGTACAGTCTGACTGTGCACACGTCCTCCTGTGTTCATACAGAACCACTTCACTGTTTCCTTCCTTCTTCCTTGAAGAGTAAAACTGACAACGTGGGCTCACTGATCAGCAGAACTCAAGATGTCTGACGAGGGCTGACATGTTCTGTTGCAGCAGTGACTGAGCTGTTTCTTGTTCTCATGTGTTTCAGGCTCAGCTGTCCAGATCTCTTCTAGCCGGATGCAGAGACACCGGGACAAATTGTCTGTCTGCTGTGGACAGCAACACACACTGCAGCACAGCCAGCAGGTGGACAGAGACACACACCACTGTTACATATCTGTACTGCATCCACTCTCTCAAAACATGTTGTGTTTTTTCCTTTAGTAGAAGGCAGCAGGCGGAACACAATGATGATGATGATGATGTCATAGATGATGTCGGCAGACTTCCAGATGCCGTGGGTTAGTGGTGCTTTTACTTCTACAACAGACATGCAATACAACAGGGTCGTAGCTAAAGTGGGTCTGGGGTGCCACTCGCCCAAAACTGTGCTGTCAAGTCATGTGCAGTCATGGCTACATACAGGGTGGACAATGGATCTAGGTTTACTTGTGTTCACTTGTTGTTTTTACCTTTTTTAGAATGCATGGCGTCTCATTGCCCACCATTCCTTAACACAACCAAAGCTGAGCCCCCAGCAGGCCCAGGTTACTATTCACAGAGGGCAAAGCAATTTTTTGTAACATTTAAAAAAGCTTTTTACTACTATAAAGCTGGGATTTAATTGTTTCTGGACAGGAAGAGAGACTACAGGGTGGGGTTTTTGGCACTTCATTTTTCAGACCTGAATGTTTGCAGCTAGATCAGCTAATCTAACAGAAACATTAAGTTAAAATGTCAATGTTCACATCACAGTCAGAAGCTTCTCTCTTTATTTTAGTTGTTGATCATCCCAGCTCTGACATCATTGAACGTCTGACAGAGAAAAAAATTCAAAAACATCAAGAGGCTCTCAAACAGCTGGATTCAGACCTGAGCCAGCTGTCTCAGGTACAATGCATCGTAGTTACACTGCACCTGAGGGCAATACATGCTGTGGTGTCACAATACATACTCTGTGTGAAATTATTGGCCACTGTCTGTCATTGTGTCAGGCGTGTGAGACTCAGGTGAAGGCCATCAGTCAGGAGCTATTGTCCAGTCTGCAGGAGGTGGATCTCAGATTGGACACCCTGAAAGTCAGAATGAATCAGCTGGAAGATCTGGAAGATGTCAGTATGCAGGTACACATGACATAAAGTTTAGAAGATCAAATACAGTTTTAAACCCGCAGCCTGATGAAGCTTGTGATTTTTTTTAAAAATCGCCAAACCTTCAGAATAATTAGACTTGGTGTGGTTGGTGGAGTGTGAAAATAATATCTTATGGGCTGGAGAAATGTGATTGGTTTTGAGAGTGTTAATTTCATGTGTGTGCAGGAGATCCACGGTCTTTGGAAGAAGGTAGAGGAAGACGTGAAGCTGAAGAAGACCACTATCGTAGAACTTAACCTCAAACTGACTGAAACTGAAAAACAACGTACTGACCCGGTCAGACTGAGCGTCACTGACACTTTTAAAATTTTACCCAAAGAAACCATTTGACATCCACAGTCAGTGGTTGAACAATAGAGGGCAGTACTGTACAGTTGTGGTCAGAAGTATACTTAAAATCTTCATAATACATTTCTTTAAACTATTTTTTTCCTATGGTGGAAGGACTATACAACAGCTTTGATGTCTTAAAAACAGAAATTGGGTCCACAAGTTTAAATTTGTTTTGGATTTTAACTAATCCAAACATTGACACAAGTATGGATACAAGCTTAAATATATACATAGACTCACTTAAGTCTTTTAATAAGTGCTGCTGAAGGTTCTACATTTACAGCCTTGTAAAGAAGTGGTTGATCTATGAATTGTACATTTACACAAGTTGGGAAGGTCTCTTGGAGTCATTGGAGCACATATTAAGATGATCAGTTCAAACAAATGTTCAGATGTGCCACGACTTTAACAAGGTCTGGAAGAAGACCCAAACTATCACCCTGAGACAAGAGGAAAATGATTTAAAACCGGGTTTTACATCTTCATGGAATAATAGAGTGCTGATCACGAAAGAAGGCCCTGCTCGTTAACAGACGCTTTGAATCTTGGCTGAAATTTGCAGCTGCTCATGTGGAGTAGCCAAATGTCCCCAAGAGAAAGGTTTTATGGTCAGAGACAAAGATTGAACTATTTGGCCACGATAGCATGATGAGTAGTAAAAGTGAGGCTTTCAATCCTAAGAACACTTTATCAGCTGTCATTGATGGTGGTGGTAGTTTGATTCTCTGGGGCTGGTTTGCCCTCAGTGGTACTGGTACACAAAGTGGATAGAATAATAGAACAGCCAGTGTGTATACTGCTGAGCAGCTGTGGAGAAAAACCAAACCAAAATTCAAACTTGTGGACCACTTCCTGTTTGTTTAAGACATTAAATGATGTACATGCTGTATAATCATTCTAGAAAAAGAGCAGTTCAGTCAATGTATTTTTCTTTTTCTCATAGATCAGAGCTATTATCAGGAAGTACTACCGTGTGTTGGAGCAGATCAGTTTCCTGCATCCATCTGACATCCACAGGCTGATCCACACTGAAGCTACAGTAAGTCACTGTGACCTCTCATCTGACCTCTAACCTACATAAAATGATAAATTGCACTTCTATATCTCTGTTTGTCTCAGATGCTGAATCAGTCTATGCTAGCAAACCGTCGCAGCATTGCCCGACTGCTGCTGCTCCTCCAGGAGGAAAATCTACATAAGGAGTCGATCCTTCGTCGGCACTGGGAGGACTGTCTGAGTCACTGGAGAAGGAAAAGAGTCCACAGAATTGTAGATCAGTTCAGGTGAGTGGAGCACCATGTTATACATTGATGTGAGTTAAAGAAGCCAGAAGCTTAAAAGATTCAGGATTAGCTTGTTCAACACTCTAATCCACTTTGTTCATTTTCCCAAAGTCAGAAGAGAATTAGATTGGAATTGCTGAGTTTGGTAATCCAAAATAACTCCTCTTATGACTCTAGAAGTCATTAACTACAGAATATATCAATAATGGCAGGGCACGAAGATTCTCCTCAGCAAAGCAAGAATTCCTGTTAGGGGAGGACTGGGATTTAGACTACAGGCATTGTCACCAAAGCAACGAAAACAAAAAAGAAGGGGTGGCAAAAAGTGGCTGACAATATTAAATTTAACTTATTATAAATACAGGGCAGTCTGGGTAATCAGATACCAGAACATTTTCCGTAATTTCATCATGAAGAAAACTGAGAGACTGTGAGACATTTCAGGGTTAAATGTTTAAATAACTATCTTTACACTGTCATCCATTCCATCCATTCATCCATCCATCCATTATATCCAGAGATATCATTTCTCCAGCGTGTCCTGAGTCTGCCCTGCAGCCTCTTTACAGTGGAATGTTCCCAGATCACTTCACCCATGTAGATTGGTTGGGCAAACTCCCACATAGCTCCTTAAGATGATAAAGAGTTGGTTGTATGTTCTGGGTCCAGGATGAAAACCACATTGTTCCTCCTGTATCAGAGAATTGACGAATGAATGAACTTTCCTTTCCAGTGCCCTGGCATAGACCTTTCTAGAGAGGCTGATGAGTATTATCCCCCCGTAGTTAGAGGACACCCTCCAGTCCCCCTTCTCAAAGATGGGAATCACAACCACAGTCTGCCGATCCATAGGCATGGCCCCAGATCTCCACGCAATGTTGCAGGTGCATGTCAACCAAGACAGCCCTACAACATCCAAAGCCTTTAAGAACTAAAGGTGAACCTCACCACCGGACACTCTTCTTACAGCTCTGTCTGGAGGCCTGGCTACAGGGTTGGGCAACCCTACATGGTACACTGGTACCTTGATTTTCTTCTGTCCATAGGTGTTGACTGAATCACTCTTTATTTGGCCACTCACCAAGGACCAATTTGCCTAACATTTGTCCAACAAGGACACTATCTCAAACTGACATTGAGGTAATGTCTGCAGCTTTAATTTTTTAACTCCCAGACCCTGGACAAGTTGGAGGGCTTTTATTTCCTAATATTTTTCTATATTTGTGGTCAGTTTCAGAACTGCTGTGACAGTCAGTCCTACAACTGAAAGATCAGGCATCACTCCAAATTGTATACCATGGTAAGTTTTTGAACTGGCTGATAATCAGTAGTATTTGTGTCGTAGAGGTCTCTGCAGCAGGAATGAGGATCAGCAGCTGGCCTCAGTTCAGCAGATAAAACTAACCCAGCAAGATCTGACTGAACGGCGCCGTGACATCATTAACAAGATCAGGTAAGATCAGGTGAAAATAAACAAACATAAATCATAATCTTTTCATTGCCTGGAGATCCAGTCAGTCCAGTTTCAGTGTAATTTCTTTTGTTTTCACCCCGTGTTCTTCTTGTCAAGTCACATATTCTCTTTGTGTTTCAGCTCTCTGGTCCCACCCACCTGCTCCAAAGCTTTGGTGTCTGATTGGTTTGACCAACTAACAGATGTCAATCAGCAAATTGGTAACTGTCCTCTGGAGTCACTACTACTGATACAGTATGAGTTTCACTTTACAAACTTAAATCACTATTTGAACAGCAGAAAACATCACTGTATCACCTTCATGAAGCAGCTATGTTACCAAGTCATCCAAATCATCTGTTATCCTGCTTGTGGTAAATTGGCAGAAGCACAAGTCTGAGTTATACTATGGTGATGATAAATGTAGGTTTGTATTTGTGTGTTCAGAGCATTTCCACACTGAGCTTCTCCATCAGCTGCGTTGCTGCTTTGAACAGACATGGCAGAATCGGCTGGCGGAGGTGGAGCGCTGTAAGGTAAATGCGCTTGGTTAGCTCTGATGTAGCAGCTTTCAAATACCTTTAGTTAATAGCTGACTGCTGTCTGCAGCTACATCATCGTAGCAATGATTACATTCCAGCATACAGGCCTGTAATTTTAACCTGTCATCCTACAGGAAGTCCTCTCATCTTTGGAATTGTCAGAAGAGGAAGTGAATGACATCATCAACTCACAGCTTCTCACAGTGATTGGAGCACAGCAGAATCAGGATGAAGAGCAGCTGGCCGCTTTAGATGTCAGTCACGTAAACCTGCCTCAGACTGTTTCTGTGCACTGTATCAGAGCATCCACGTGTTCATGCTTTCTGCTTGTCTGTCTGCAGGTGAGCAGTGACTCTGTGGCCCGTCATGCTTTCAGTCTAAGTAGAAGTGTATTTGTTGTCATGCGAGCAGCAGCATTGCTGTGGGAGACACATTGCCAAAGATTAGAGAGGAGAGATGAAAAACTACAACAAGACCTGAATGATCTCAGATGCTCACAGCAGCAGCACTTACAAGTGAGTTGCAATAAAACACAAGCAGGTAAGTCAAATAAAAACAACAAACACAATCAAGTAGTAAAAAAAAAAAGAATGCTTGGACACTGCTAGCATAATGGACAGGTTTTCGACGGGGCTCCCACACAAACGCAAAGCAGGAGATGAGGCATCGCTAAATATGTTTCTAAACCAACTTCCTTCCAAGCCAAAGACTAGAAAATATGGTGAAGCATATCTTCCCTTTGGCTTCACCTGCACAAGTGCCAAGGTAGGTCTCCCCTGCAGAATTGGTTTTCCCTGCGTCAGGAGCAGGCGCCGGACTCTCCAAATCACGGACAAACAGTATCCCACATTCTTGATTTTTAGTTCACAAACTTGTGATAACTAACTACTTCTGACATTTTGGACATGTTAGCTCTTTATACAGTAAAGTTACAGTGGGATACAAATAATATCAGGCTGATCCTGCCATAATTTACTCCCCCTGTCCAAATTACAGACAAACAGCATCCCACAGTTGTTTATGTTTTTGAACCCATTTTGCACAGAGAGGCATTTTTTGAAAAATGTATTGATAGCAATGTTGAATATTATTACCCAGGAAAAAAACAACTACACGTAAAATAATTCCACCATGATGCCTCTGCCTTTCTAAATGGAGGGACAGTAACTGCGTGTGTATATGTAAGAGTGTAAAACCTGAAGATAGTAAGATTTACAGTATTTTCTCTCAATCTGCCATTCTGCAATTCATCTCATGTAAACAAAAAAGTAAGTAAAAAAAGTTTGGGAACCACTGGTCTAATATAAGAATTTATTTGATGATCAGAAACGTGTAATTGTGACAAATATGAAGAAAAAAACCTCTAAGAAATCAGGAAGCGGGCAAAGTTTTTAATAGCACCTTAAAGGATTTATGTTAACAAATTACATACAGGTAAGTTACCGTCACAGATCGACGTGGTTTTCACACTTTTGCCCAAGAGAGAGCATGACAGGTTCCCTTTTCCAACATGCTTGCTCTTATTCTATCAGAAACGGAAGATGCAAATGGATGACCTGTTAGGAGGACTCCGTCAAGAGAGCAGTGAGGATGCTCTGAAGACATCTCTGGACAAAACTATCGGTTACTTGCAGCAGATTAAGCACAGGTACTACAGGGTGCCAGCTAAGGCTAATCCCAAAGCAAAATCCAAATAAAAGTTCATTTTCTCTCCAATTTATTACAAATATTGAAATTCACAACATCCCCATCCAGTTTGTTAACATTTTGCCTTGGACCATAGCAGGGAAGCAATGTCTGTACAGTTCCCCAGGGAACAATCAATCACATCATGAAAACGCAAAGCTTAGCTGACCAACTCTGATTATTTAACATGATCATTTGTCTGATTGGCCGGAGGCGAACACAGCCACAACTTTAACTGTAAAAAGGACAGAGGTTGTGTGGGCAGGAAGAAAGGTGAATTTGAATAAAAGGTCCTAATTTTCAGTGTGTGTGTGTGTGTGTGTGTGTGTGTGTGTGTGTGCAGTTGCAATCAATTTGTCATTGATCAATGGACCCTGTTGAATCTTCACCCATCGTGCTGTTTGGAGGAGCTTGTCTCCTACAGCAGGAACCTCAGCTCCTTCTACCACCTGAGTCACACCTACCAACCGGTAACCATAGCAGACAGACCTCACTCACTACATGTAGCCGGTAACCACAGAAACACAATTACAGTGAAACCTGAAATAGTTTGCATCGATCTGAACACATCTGACTTTTTCATCTCATTGTCCTCTAAAAAAGGTTATCATCAATTTAAGTCATGTCTCTTTTTTTCTCAGAGTCCAGGGGATTTGGAAAAGCTTGTCCAACCATCTAGCGGCCGATCCAGCCCATACCTGGGTCTGTTCTTTCACACTCATGCTCAGATACTTAAACTGGTTTTATTTAGTATTGACATGTTTATTTGTTTGTGTAGAAACCAGCTGGCAGATTGAAAGTCCTGAAACTTCACACAGCTCTCAAAATTGGCTAATTGAGGTGATGCTAATTAATGATAAACAATAATCAATTTCTGATTGATCAAGAAAATATCAATGGTCGTGTGTGTGTGTGTGTGTGTGTGTGTGTGTGTGTGTGTGTGTGTGTGTGTGTGTGTGTGTGTGTGTGTGCATTTCAGGCAGGGTCCATCCTGAAGGAGATCTGTGATTTCAGCAGCTCTGTCACCTTTACCTCATCAAAAGATGTGGTCTACTCAGCTCCTGTCTTCAGATGTTCCACTCCCAACCTGCCAGTCAACCTGGAGTGGGAGACACACCTGAGCTTATTTCCTGTGGACCTCCTCCTGGACTCACTGAGCAGGTACTCACACACGCACGCTTGTATTTCCACTCTCAGTTGAAAGATCACCACCTCAAAGGCTGACTGTCTGTGTGTCAAGGTCCCGGACTCTGTTCTTGAACCACCTGGAGCAGCATTTCCACAATGTGCTCAGTTTAGCGGTTTCAATGGTGAGAGACAGGAAGGAGGCGGTGCGCTCAGAGCAGGAGCTCCAACTCCAGCAGCTGAGCCCCCGACATATCAAGACCCATATATACGAGCCCCGCATGGGTAACAGACACACACAAACAATGCACAAATGTTGGTGAAAGTTAGTCAAAGGTTACAGAATTTGCTGTAACACATGCTAGTAATCATGATTCACAGAATGGATATAAAAGATGGGTTTAAACAGTGATTTCAACGTTTTTCCTACTGACATCTTAAGTTTTGAAATCAGACTTGAATGCATGAGGCTAAAAGACACCAAATCCTTTTACAAGCAAGTGCTGCCACTCAGAAATGATTTTAAAATGTCTCTAATGTCTAACTTTAACAGCCACTGACATAAATCGACAATAAAACTGCAGTTATAGAATCATCAGTGAAATTTTTTTTTGAAGCAACTCATAATAGGTTTTCCGACCTTGCCAGTTAATTATTATTATCCTCGTATAAGATTTTGTTTTTCAACTAAATGACTCACTCATGCTGGCCACTGAAAAGAATACAGGTTTAAAACTGCATCCACCCTGGAAGTAGTCTAGTTGTTTGAAGCTAACAGCTAGTGGTCCTTCAATGCTCCAGTTGCCTAACTGACCCTGTAGCATACAGTATTTAATACCAGGCCATATTTCAATCAATTATATCTTTCACTCCCATTAGTAGCTTGCGTGGAAGTTGAGAAAAGATTATCTTGTCTGCTCAATAATCCAGGTAAGAAAGTTGATTGGTAATGGACTGATTCTTATATAGTGCTTTTCTACTCCAGCCGGAGTACTTTAGACAAGATGTCACATTCACCCAAACACTTTCTCTATGCTGAGTGCTTTTTAACTACATTCACCCTGATGGATGCATCGGAGAGCAACTTGGGGTTAGTATCTTGCCCAAGGATACTTGACATGCAGACTGGAGGAGCCAGGGATTGAACCACCAACCTTCCGATCAGTAGGTGACCTGCTCAACCTCCTGAGCTACAGCCACCCACTGTTTCTCCCACTGGAAGTTCAACATCCAAAATTGTATTCAGAATCAGCTTCTTTGGGAAAAGATTACCTCTTGTCTGGATACGTCTCATTGCCAGCAGTTAAGTTAGATGCTTGAAGTCACAAAATGTCATTCACTTTCTGTAGCATCTGCTTAGCACGTCACTACCAATACCAATGTCCATCTATATTAATAGTCTGTGGTCCTTCCCATATTATTTTTACAGAAGCAGCTAGAAGCATATAGTGACAGGTTAATAATGAAAACACCTCTTAACCAAACTGTGTCTTTGTGCGTAGCTGAGCTACAGCTCCACAGACAGCATGTGGACACCCACTTTGAGGGTGTGTTGGACCTGTTGACCTCCTGTAGGATGGAATTGCAAGACCTGCAGGCCTCCATAAAGAAAAAGAACATGGAGCTTATGGTCACTTTGTCCAACATTGAGGCCAACATCCAAACAGCCAGCAGCAGTCAACAGTAAAAACTGTCTATCTGCACCTTTATGTGACTGTCAGCTTAGTGAGACCGAGACACTGACCACAGGTATGTTTCTCTGCAGTTGGGAGGCTGCTAGCACCACACTGCAGGACTGTCTGCATGGACACATCAAAGAAACGCAGGACTGGCTGACCAACTTCAGACAGACAGTCATGATAAGAATGGAGGAGGGCAGAAACAAAACAGCACAACTCCTCAGCTCCTTCAGGTAACGGCAGCTGCAGCAGACTCTTCAGCAAAACAAAGTGATCATCACCAGATGAGTGTGTTTTCCTCCTGCAGGCTGTTCAGTGAAGGAGGAGATTTTGCACCTCAGGAGCTAAAGATGTTTCAGAGAAGGGTGAGGGAGGAAACTAAGCGTATCAGCACAACTGAGGAGTCCATCTACTCTGCTCTTGAGGCTTTTGAATCCAGGAGCTTACAGAAGGTGCAATGTATTATCCTCTGTTAATTGTTACTTCTGTAAAGCACAGTTTGCATAAAATGGTCGAGTAGAGCCTGGTCGCTCTTTGGACAAAATTCCTATTTCCATCCCAATTCTCTTGCCTGGTGGCCCCATGATGACATCAAACCTAGACTATATATAAAAGATCCATATGGTCACCATTTAATTGTGGACTCAGGATTTTGAAACCTTATTCTTAGTGTTTTCACTGAGAACAGTTGGGGTCAGAAGTTACCATATTTGGACAAGAAAGTGGAATGTTCGATAGGTAGATAACAGTAACAAGCTTAGTAAGCAAACTGCATACATGAACTGTACTGGGGCAATGCTCAGACACACATATTAGCATATTAGCTAAACAGTGGAAAGTAACACACTGGGACAATACTAGAATATCACTCACCATAAGTGAAGCACAAACATATTAGATAACTTTTATTTAGATAATTCTTTAATCCTCCAAAAGGCACCAACAATCACATTTTCTTTATTTGTATAGTTTCCCCTTTATAACAGCTTTTGCCCCTCAGTGTCCCAGGGATTCCAGGGGCTATGTTGTCAGTGGACTTTTTGCCCCCATGACAAATTGGTCCTGGGTGAGGGACCAGACAAAGAGCTATTCAAAAAGTATAAATTACACAAAACATACAGCCAAAGCAATCCAAGTTTTTCCTGGTTGGCGTTAGAGTTTGTTCCCTGTGCCTTCGGGTCGGGAAATAGGTCATAACTGTGATCTGCGGTTATGTGTCGAATGACAGTTTTTGGAGTCCCTGGGCGGGATGCTTGAGGAAGGTCCACCTGGGGACTCTGTCGTCTTACTGAGAGACTTCAACACTTGTGGGCAACGACAGTGAGACCTGGAAGGATGTGACTGGGCAGAACACTGGACCAAGTGGAAGGCTTCGACTTGAGTGGTCTCAGAATCTCATCTCTGCTTTTTGCAGATGATGCAGTTCTGTTGGCTTTATCAGGGGGTGGCCTGATAAAGCCAACAGCTGTCAATTTACTGGTATACCTACGTCCCTACCCTCATCCATGGTCACCAGCTTTCGTTAGTGGCGGAAAGAACAAGATTGCAGATACAAGCGGCGGAAATGAGCCTTGTCTAAGAGTAGCTGGCCTCTCTCTTAGAGATAGGGTGATGAGTTGGGCCATCGGGGAGGGGCTCAGAGTAGAGCTGCTACTCCTCTAAATTGAAAGGACCCAGTCTCTTTGATAGCTAGGAACATGCTACTGTAGGCCCTATGTCCAATAATCTGGTGTTTATTGGTGTTTTTTGGAATAATCTGAAAAACAATATTGCTTTCTTACACTATTGTCAATGTCCAGGTCGCTGTGTACATCTTTTACAGTGGGGCAAAAAAGTATTTAGTCAGCCACCGATTGTGCAAGTTCCCCCACCTAAAATAAGATAAGATAAGATAAGATAAGATAACCTTTATTAGTCCCACACGTGGGAAATTTGTTTTGTCACAGCAGGAGTGGACAGTGCAAAAGTTATGGGGCAAAAATTAGAATACAATAAGAATAAATACAGTACACAACTGTACAGAATAGAATAAAATAAAATACTATATACAGTAGAATAAAATAAAATAAATATACAATAAGATAAAAATAGAATACAAATACAAATACTATATACAAATGATGACAGAGGCCAGTAATTTGCACCAGAGGTACACTTCAACTGTGAGAGACAGAATGTGAAAAAAAATCCATGAATCCACATGGTAGGATTTGTAAAGAATTTATTCGTAAATCAGGGTGGAAAATAAGTATTTGGTCAATAACAAAAATACAACTCGATACTTTGTAACATAACCTTTGTTGGCAATGACAGAGGTCAAACGTTTACTATAGGTCTTTACCAGGTTTGCACACACAGTAGCTGGTATTTTGGCCCATTCCTCCATGCAGATCTTCTCGAGAGCAGTGATGTTTTGGGGCTGTCGCCGAGCAACACGGACTTTCAACTCCCGCCACAGATTTTCTATGGGGTTGAGGTCTGGAGACTGGCTAGGCCACTCCAGGACTTTCAAATGCTTCTTACGGAGCCACTCCTTTGTTGCCCGGGCGGTGTGTTTTGGATCATTGTCATGTTGGAAGACCCGGCCTCGTTTCATCTTCAAAGTTCTCACTGATGGAAGGAGGTTTTGGCTCAAAATCTCACGATACATGGCCCCATTCATTCTGTCCTTAACACGGATCAGTCGTCCTGTCCCCTTGGCAGAAAAACAGCCCCATAGCATGATGTTTCCACCCCCATGCTTCACAGTAGGTATGGTGTTCTTGGGATGCAACTCAGTATTCTTCTTCCTCCAAACACGACGAGTTGAGTTTATACCAAAAAGTTCTACTTTGGTTTCATCTGACCACATGACATTCTCCCAATCCTCTGCTGTATCATCCATGTGCTCTCTGGCAAACTTCAGACGGGCCTGGACATGCACTGGCTTCAGCAGCGGAACACGTCTGGCACTGCGGGATTTGATTCCCTGCCGTTGTAGTGTGTTACTGATGGTGACCTTTGTTACTTTGGTCCCAGCTCTCTGCAGGTCATTCACCAGGTCCCCCCGTGTGGTTCTGGGATCTTTGCTCACCGTTCTCATGATCATTTTGACCCCACGGAATGAGACCTTGCGTGGAGCCCCAGATCGAGGGAGATTATCAGTGGTCTTGTATGTCTTCCATTTTCTGATGATTGCTCCCACAGTTGGTTTTTTCACACCAAGCTGCTTGCCTATTGTAGATTCACTCTTCCCAGTCTGGTGCAGGTCTACAATACTTTTCCTGGTGTCCTTCGAAAGCTCTTTGGTCTTGGCCATGGCGGAGTTTGGAGTCTGACTGTTTGAGGCTGTGGACAGGTGTCTTTTATACAGATGATGAGTTCAAACAGGTGCCATTCATACAGGTAACGAGTGGGGGACAGAAAAGCTTCTTACAGAAGACGTTACAGGTCTGTGAGAGCCAGAGATTTTCCTTGTTTGAGGTGACCAAATACTTATTTTCCACCCTAATTTACGAATAAATTCTTTACAAATCCTACCATGTGGATTCATGGATTTTTTTTTCACATTCTGTCTCTCACAGTTAAAGTGTACCTCTGGTGCAAATTACTGACCTCTGTCATCATTTTAAGTGGGGGAACTTGCACAATCGGTGGCTGACTAAATACTTTTTTGCCCCACTGTGTATACAGTATAGATCGTGAATATAATGTGTTTATATCTGGTTGTCAGCAAAGCAGATTCTTGGGTCTTTACCTTTAATTATTAATTAATTAATTAATTAATTAATTAATAGAACAATATAGAAAAAGTCCAAGCAACTAGAGAGATAAGTAGTAATAGTAATAAGTTTTAAAGTGGAATGATATGTGAGACCACTAAATGTCTGGCAGGTAGAAACTGAATTTTTTCACATGATATTTATGGTAGCAATACTCTATGCACACTAGTGGAGACTCCAGAGGTAGTTCTGGTGTTCAACATTAAACAGTCTAATGATATTTTGCAGGTGAAAGAAGTGTCGGCTCCCTTGGAAGAGAAACTGTCCTTTTTGAAGTCTGAGGTGAAATTTATTGAGGACGCCCAGAAAATGATCACCAGCACACAAGTTCACATCAAAGCTGAGGTGCCCATCTCTCTCTCTCTGTCTGCTTGTCTCTCTCTGTCTTTGCTGGTTGTTTATTAATACTGTTGGGCCCGTCCAGGCTGCCAGAAGTAACCACCAGCAGACTGTTATCAGCAAAAGACTGGAGGACCTGAGGAAGATGTTGGATGACACACAGGTAGTAAGGTAGCTGGGAGATTTGACTGTGCAGTGACAAAGTTATATTGCAGCTGGAAGAACAGTGGCCCATAAATACAAGAGGTAATCAAAAATGTCCAAGAACAGGACCAATTAAAACCAAAAGGCTTACCTGATATGAATTTGAGTGATCTCAGACTCGTGGTCATCTTTTTGTGCACCTCTGAAACAGAAGCTTATATTTTTTTTATTTCCACAAGTTTGAGGGCTGTGGTGAAACTGCAAAGAACACAGTGTACGTGGTCAGAGCTTCCAGGAAACAATTCTGAAAAGCAGGTTTGCTGGATGCTGTCAGGACATGTTTGAGAAGATGACAATGGAGATGATCTAATCCAGATATAATATGAACATTGGCTAATTGAACAGGGCTGGTAGGAATAAAAGCAGGAAAATGGGAAAACTGGTAGATTTAAAAGAGGCAAGAATGAACAGTACAAACTCCACCAAAACTGCACATAATTAAACAAAAGCCACAGAAAAAAAATCTGTGTCCATACTTATAGTAGTAACATAACATTATTTTTTCACCCCTGGTCAAATGACTACTGTTATTACTCCTATTCAGTTACTGTACAGAGGACTGTAGTACTTATACCAAAGAACAAGAGCTCCAACGTGAATATTTTCTCTATATGCAGCTGTCTCCAGATCAGGTTTGTTCCTTCCTGTCATCAATCAATAAAGAACTCAGGGAGTGCTGTCAGTACCTGGATTTGAGTTTGGTATGTCACTTCCTATCCACCACCTGTTGCCTTGTTTTTCTGCACTGCTTCTCTTCTTTCTAGGCTGCATGGGGTCTATGCCCTCATCTTCTATTTTTCTTCTGCCTTTTGCAGACAGTCTTGACCCGGTCTATTTTCTTTCCATGTGGATTAATTTTTCATTTTTGTGTTCAGGACTCTGCACTGGAGGAAAGCCTTGCTTTGTCAGGTCACCATAAATCCAGGAAGCAGGTCCTGCTAAACCTGTCTCCTGGTTTACTGCAGCCAAACAAAACAAATATGGACCCCCTTGATGATCCTGTTGTGGGGATCATCAGGTCCTTGAACAGGTATATATGTGGAGGTCCATTTAAGTTAACTTTGGGTTGATGGGGCTGCTCTAATTTTCAGAGTTGAAAATCCAACTTCCAGTTGAAAATTCTAACTCGGAACTCAGACATTACAACTTCCAACTTTAATAGAAGGCACTAATAATCCTGCTGCTGCAGGAACAAGATTACTGCTGGTTGTGTGATACTCTTTGATTATGCAGACAAAAAATGTTTCACCCCCTTATTTCTGTCCAACACCCAAACATACAGGATTAGTTGCCAAGATCCAGCAAAGGAAAGAGAACGGAGACAAAGGATATCTTCTGGTAAAGTACAAACATTTGTTTCCTTTTTCATTCTGACGGAAATATGTCTTTTTTCTCAGTAGTGTTGCAGAGAGTTGCACATAAACTACTTCACCACTCATACAACCTGTAGGCAGCTTAGTGCAGTTCACTGTTTTTCTTTTTAAAAACTGGTCACAGGATTGAACTTGTATTGCTAACTTATTCTAGCATTACAATAGAATTTGCCTTAACTTCTATTGTGTAGAGCACTTTTACAGTGGTTTTAGCTTTCACCAGGTTATCTCAGACCTCGCTGGGCTGAGTAGGTTTATGGTGAGGATCAGGATTTCTTTCAATCCATCCATCCATCCATCCATCCATCCATCCATCCATCCATCCATTCGCTTCCGCTTATCCTTTTCAGGGTTGTGGGGGGCGCTGGAGCCTATCCCAGCTGTCATAGGGCGAGGGGCGGGGTACACCCTGGACAGGTCGCCAGTCTGTTGCAGGGCTAACACACAGGGACAGACAACCATTTGCACTCACATTCATTCGCACATTCACACCTAGTGACAATTTAGATTATCCAATTAATCTATCCCCACAAGCTGCATGTCTTTGGATGGTGGGAGGAAGCCGGAGTACCCGGAGGGAACCCACGCAAACACGGGGAGAACATGCAAACTCCTTCTTTCAATTCAATTCAGTTTTATTTATATAGCGCCAAATCACAACAAAAGTCGCCTCAAGGCGCTTCATAGATACAGAGAAAAACCCAACAATCATATGACTCCCTATGAGCAAGCACTTTGGCGACAGTGGGGAGGAAAAACCCTTTTAACAGGAAGAAACCTCCGGCAGAACCAGGCTCAGGGAGGGGCGGGGCCATCTGCTGCGACCGGTTGGGGTGAGAGAAGGAAGACAGGATAAAAGACATGCTGTGGAAGAGAGACAGAGGTTAATAACAGATATGATTCAATGCAGAGAGGTCTATTAACACATAGTGAGTGAGAAAGGTGACTGGAAAGGAAAAACTCAATGCATCATGGGAATCCCCCCGGCAGCCTATGTCTATTGCAGCATAACTAAGGGAGGATTCAGGGTCACCTGGTCCAGCCCTAACTATATGCTTTAGCAAAAAGGAAAGTTTTAAGCCTAATCTTAAAAGTAGGATAGTGTCTGTCTCTTGAATCCAAACTGGAAGCTGGTTCCACAGAAGACGGGCCTGAAAACTGAAGGCTCTCCCTCCCATTCTACTTTTAAATACTCTAGGAACAACAAGTAGGCCTGCAGTGCGAGAGCGAAGTGCTCTAATAGGGTGATATGGTACTATAAGGTCATTAAGATAAGATGGGGCCTGATAATTTAAGACCTTGTATGTGAGGAGCAGGATTTTGAATTCAATTCTGGATTTAACAGGAAGCCAATAAAGGGAAGCCAAAACAGGAGAAATATGCTCTCTCTTTCTAGTCCCTGTCAGTACTCTTGCTGCAGCATTTTGGATTAGCTGAAGGCTTTTCAGTGAGTTTTTAGGACATCATGATAATAATGAATTGCAGTAGTCCAGCCTGGAAGTAATAAATGCATGAACTAGTTTTTCAGCGTCACTCTGAGACAGGATATTTCTAACTTTAGAGATGTTGCGCAAATGGAAGAAAGCATTCTTACATATTTGTTTAATATGTGCGTTGAAGGACATGTCCTGGTCAAAAATGACTCCAAGGTTCCTCACAGCGTTACTGGAGGCCAAGGTAATGCCATCCAGAGTAAGAATCTGGTTAGATGCCATATTTCTAAGATTTTCAGGGCCGAGTACAATAACCTCAGTTTTATCTGAATTAAGAAGCAGAAAGTTAGCGGCCATCCAGGTCTTTATGTCTTTAACCAGTGTGTGAATGGGTGGATGACTGGTTGTGTAAAGCGCTATACAAATACAGGCCATTTACCATTTATGACATTTCTGCAGTTTAACTAATTGGTGTGTATTATCTGGCTTGCTAGATAGATAGAGTTGGGTGTCATCTGCATAGCAGTGAAAATTTATGCTATGTCTTCTAATGATGCTGCCTAAGGGAAGCATGTATAGTGTAAACAGAATTGGTCCTAGCACTGAACCCTGTGGAACTCCATAATTAACCTCAGTGTGTGAAGAGGACTCTCCATTTACATGCACAAATTGAAGTCTATTAGATAGATATGATACAAACCACTGCTGCGCAGTACCTGTAATACCTACAGCATGTTCTAATCGCTCTAATAGGATATTATGGTCAACAGTATCGAATGCTGCACTAAGGTCTAGCAGGACAAGCACAGAGATGAGTCCACTGTCAGAGGCCATAAGAAAATCATTTGTAACCTTCACTAAAGCTGTTTCTGTGCTGTGATGAGCTCTGAAACCTGACTGAAACTCAGTCATATCCTTAGTAAAAAAAAAAACTTTCACGAACTGAAAACTTTCAAATGAAGTATTTTGGCATTACAGTTTTTCATTTGTGTGTTCAGCGTAACCAAAGACTATATAAACAAGGTGTGTGTCTGTGTGTCAGCCTTTCTTAACATACCCTTAAGCCTGGATGATTAACTGGTGACTGAAGGGCTTCACACATTGAATGCATAAAATCAATATGAATATTTTGTGCATTCTAAATATTTTTCAGACAAAGCTATTCTTTGTGCATCTGTTCACACTGACCGCGTTATTTCACTGGGACACATTTTTGGCATTTATTTTTTCAAACCAACCTTCATTTTTTTGGACCCAAATAAACAGATCTGACCGCAGACTGCATTTGGAAACAAATGCCCTCATAGCTCAAACGCACACCAGTACTGACTACTAGAGAGATGGAAATAGAAAAATAATTCTGTTTTACTTCAGACATACAGCTATACGCTGCTCCAGGTCATGCTGCCTACTTGTGAGAATTGGATGAACCCAGAATCTCAGTTTCTTACTTTTCTTGTTTAGAAACGTCAGAACCAGCTCATCATGACTTGCTGTCAACTTATTTTCTTTTAAAGTGCGTTTTTTTGAGGAGGAATTTTCCACAAAATGTGTTCGGTGTGTATATATGTTATACAGCAAGTTTGGATCTGGAAAATTCTCAATTTCGTGTTGTTGGTTTTTTGCAATGCGTTTGGTGTTTAACAGCCAACCCAGTTCAGACTGACAGCATGTTGTGTTTCTGCAGGTCTGAATCCTATCCAGCTTCAGCAGAGACAAGATTCTGTCAATGCACCGAGGTAAACACATGTAGAAACATGATGCATTGCAACTCATCTGAACATCAATGTCATTTTATTTATGGTCGCAAACATAACAACACTGACAGCCATTTTACTTTCTTGATATGTCATCATCACTGATGACCTTACACCCAGATTGTATAATTTTTTATTATTTTTAAATACTATCTAAGTCTTTCTAACTGTCATACTGTAATGTCATACACTAATACTTCTAGTATTATTATCCTAGTATATTGCCCCGAAACCTAACCTTATGTTTTGGTGAAAAATAAAGTTAAACTTCTTTGGAATAATATAAATATTTTAGAAGTGTGTCGAATACAATTATTTTTTGTTCTCTTATTGCCAAGACCTATTTCCATAAGTCACAAATCTCATAATCTGGTACATTAGGATAATGGAGTAAGGGATACTATATCCCTAACAGAATTCCACAGTTGACTAACACATGTCCTATTTTTAGAGGAAAATGGGGTTTGCCAAGACTAGGGAGAAGAATTGTAGGGTTAGGGTTACCCAAATCAAATGGTGTTAGCTGATCCGTTCTGTCCCCTTCCTTCAAACATGGTCATGTGAGGTTTAAGGTTAGCTGTAGACAAAATGGCAAATTTGAGGATTCATATTAAGGTCATTTTTAGTACAATAACCACTAATAGATATATGTTATAGATAATCTATGACTTGTTTGTCCTATTTTATTTTTAACCTGTGTTTGTATTTCAGTGTAAAGAGGGGCGCCAGGTTTATCAGGACTGATATCAGGCATGAGAGAAGGTTCCAGATTTTTGGACCCGAACCAGATCAGAGTGCACAGTGAGTCCCAACTGATTCAGATCTGATGTGTAGCTTATGGAATGTTCTAGTTCCATTATGATATTTCTGCATTTCAGGTCTTTTAGCTCCAAAGTTAATTTGGCGTTGTGGAAAGCCAATGACATTCTCCTGCAGCTTGCTGAGGTAACATAAACATGACTGAGGGGAAATCCTATCCCTAACAGTTTCCTGAAAACCACAGAGCACTCGATAATTAAATTATTTTCTGATGCTAAGGTTCCACTTTAACTTCACACTGATCCACATCATCTCACTTGATGTTATCATTGGTCCAAACTGAATTCAAATTGACCTCAACCTGCACAAACTAACACGAACCTTTCGCTTGTCCATCCATCAGGACTTTTATCGCAGTGAGCGTCTAAGCTGTTTCCAGCTTCTTCCTGACTCCTTGGACCAATGGATTGAGAACACGCAGCAGAAGCTGGTGGGATACCACGAGCAGGCAAGCAGGTTTCTGGACACCAGCAGAGATGGTACCCATTCAGTAATACAACAATTTTCTGTCCATCTTTTTGATGACTAACATTTCTATAATTTTACACTGTAATCTGGCTGAGGCCTTAATCTTGTCCTAATCTGAACTCTAACAGTCCTTTGAAGATCTGGTCCAAACAGATGCTAGATGAAAATATCCAGCCTTCCTTTATATACATAGTTGGATTTTCTCCGTTCTGAACTCAGCAACCTTGGGTGAGGTAAATTAAAAACTCCTTAGTGGCAGGACCACTGGAGTGGATGAGATTTGCCCTGAACTCCAGTGCAATAGTTACACCCTTTTGCACATGCTCAGTAAAATGACAACTGATAAAGTTTAACAGGTTAGAGTGTAACTTAAACCAGTCCCAAAGAGTGGACTAAAACGACAGTTGCCAGGTTTAAATTATTTATTGCAAGCTGCCTGATACAGAGAAAGCAACTGTGGAGGGGAGTGAATAGGCAGGTTTTGGACACAACATCTGGACTAGCAACCTTCCCAGAGCATAGTCTTCCTAGTTCCAATCCCACCTTTGTCTCTGTGACAGACAATGGTGGAAGAACAGGTGTGAGACAGGAAATAGCTGCCATATTAGAGATGCAGGGAGACGTGGGAGCTGTGGTTGAGAAGCACACAATTGGAGGAGTTGCACTGAAGATGCCCACGTGTTGAAAAGAATTAGGAGAAAGTGATGGAGGAGCAGCAGTGGATGTAGGTGTGACCACACAGTAAAATCAATTGAAGAACTGGTTGAGTTCATCAGCTCTACCCACTTCACCCAGGAGTGGCTGTCTTTTGTTTTTGCTGTAGCCAGAGATGGTGTTGATTGCTCTCCACACCTCACAGATGTTGTTGGGCTGTAGATTCCTTTTTGTATTTCACTTTTGCCATTTTCAGTCTCTCCTTCAGCTCATGATGCACATGTTTGAGCTGTTCTATGTCACCATCTCTAAAAGCTATATTTTTCCCCATGTCCCAAAACAAAAACTACAGAATTAGAACAGACACATGAGAGATACAAACAGGAACATCAGGCTGAACTTATATATCTTAGAAAGATACAAATATCTCAAAGCAGTCACACAGAATAAGCACCTAAAAATTTTATACACACTGTCTGTCTCTACCTGTCTATGGGTCAGATGTGGTGAAGCAGCTGTCTGTGTTCGAGGAGCTGCTACTTTTATCACCTGCAGTTTTGATCAGTGACCATGAGCGACAGCATGGGTCGGGGCTCAGAGAGGAAGTGGCGAGACTCACACAGAAACTGGAGAAGACTCTGGCAGCCAGTGAGAAGGAGAAGGTGTGAAGCTGTGATGCAGAAGGCTCTGATACAGACAGTAAAGATCTGCAAGCTGACTGGTTTCTATGTGTCTGGTTGTCAGAGTGTGAACATAGGTCAGCTGCGAACGTCTCTCGGGGAGGATGAGCTGGAGATGCTGAACAGCAGAGAAGAGCTGAGACAGCAGCAGCTACACAGCACTATCTCCAGTGCACACCTTGAGCTGCAGGTATGTGACAGTGGCACCAGATAACACCTTTCTAATCTGCAGTCTCACTTTGAGTGTGCATTTTATTATTGAATGCAGGAATGTGTGAGAGGCAGAGGGGGGGAGTTTGTTACATCACTGGCTTCTCTGACAGAGAAGCTGCTCCATCAGATGAATGACCTCTTTAGCCCTGCAGGTAACCTTTAGTCGTTTGTACCATCATAATGGCTGTGTGTGTGTGCATGTGTGTGTGTGCAGAGATGCTTACCTTAAGCTGTAATGGACATATTATAAACATCTGTTCAGTTAGGCTATAAATCATAGATGATCACCTGCCTGACGTGCTGCAAGTAATGGAGCCTACATAGCAATTTCCCTGTGGTAATTAGCACCAAGACATCAGACCTTGGAATAGTCGCTTAGGCTCATATGTAAAAAGATGGCAGTGTTGTCAAGTTTTTGAATAGTTTTTTATTGGAGTTTATTGATGATTCCAATAAAATGACCTTGGAAATGTAAGTTTGTCTGAGCGATCGGATTTAAATGGCATCCATCAGGCAGGTGCCCAAGAACATAATGATTGCTCTGCCAGAGCTCCAGCATTGCTCTGTAGAGAGACAAGAACCTTCCAGGAGTACAACCATTTCTGCAGCACTCCACCAATCAGCCCTGGGCTGACAGAAGTGACTCAGCAGTCAAATGCACATGGCAGCCTGCCTGGAGTTTGCTGAAAAACCATATGAAGGATGCTCAGCCCATGAGAAACAAAGTTCTCTGGCTTTGGGACCACTCTGTCAATGTCCTTGAGTTGTTCAGCCACAGACCAGACTTGAACCCAATTGAACATCTCTGGAGAGATCTGAAAATGTGCACCAATCCTTCAAATCCCACCTGATGAAACATGAGAGGTTCTGCAAAGAAAATTTGGAGTAGCTACCCCAAAATATGTGTACCATGCTTGTAGCATCATACTCAAAAAAGACTTCAAACTGTAATTGCTGCCAAAGCTGCTTCAACAAAGTATTGAGCAAAGATTGTGGGGTATTGTGTGTAGAATTTTGAGGTGAAAAGGCTGTTACATTCCAAAATGTGAAACAAGTGAAGTGAATACTTTCTGGATAAAGTCACTAAAATTTAAAAGCATCTGAATGGTGATTTCCCACGTGCATTTTATATATCTGGGTAACCAATGAAATTAAAGTTTATTTATATAGTGCTTAAAAATTTCTGCCCAGATAAGTTCCCAGATGCATTTCAAGATGAGTACTTCCAAAACAACTTTGAATAATTTTTATGTTTAACCTGTTTCCATAGAAACTGGTACAGCAACAGCACGACAGCAGACGTGTGGTGCTGTTACTGTAGAAGCAGCATCTGAAACAGGAAGCAGACCAAGCGCTGAAAATAGGTAACCTTTGACCTCTGACCTGCATGTTACCCCTGGCAGTACAGATGTTTGTGACTAGAGAAGAAACTATAGTCAATTTAAAGTGTGTGTGTGTGTGTGTGTGTGTGTGTGTGTGTGTGTGTGTGTGTGTGTGTGTGTGTGTGTGTGTGTGTGTGTGGACATGACAACCAACAGCACAGGTGACCTGCCATCTTCTCATACTACGGTAACAACAGTTTCGATCGCTACATCCAAGTGGACCCCAGGACATGTGACTGTTATGGAGCAAAGAAACACTGCTATGAAGGTGTGTATACACACACACACACACACACACACACAAACAAAATGACACATGTAATTAATGTGTGTGTGTGTGTGTGTGTGTGTGTCAGCGGTTTGAGCAAGTGGTCAAGTTGGAACTGTTGCTCTCAGACGACATGAAACGAAGACAGCTGAGCGGACAGCAGAGCTGGAACACACACTGGAGACAACAGATACACTCTCTGAAACTGATACAGAAGCCAACATAGCAGCAGCTGACTGAAAGTTTTTGGTGTAGGCTGTGATGACATTTACTGCATTTAATGTTTGTTAATAAAACAGAGAAGAAGAAAAACTTCCTGACATCAGTTGTTGTTTTTTTCTACCAGCAGCAGAGTCATGAACATCTGACCACCTACATCAGCTGTGCAAGAGAAGCAGAATGAGAGCCTTCCCATAACCAGACATATGTCGACACCTGAACACATTTTACTCTGAATGTGACAAAGCACTAACTTGAAACATCTAATGTGATTCTTGTCTCACTAGGAAATTAAGAAATATTAGTGCCTTTTCCAAGGTTGTTTATACTTAACTAAAAGTAACCTAAAGATATGTAGGTTATCTTTATTAACCTAAAGAAAATTACGTATGAAAAACTTACTAACATAAAAACTCAAAACTAAACTTTAGAAAGAAAGGAAAACTAGCTCAAAATATGTTGCACTTGGGCAAACAGAGCTTGCTCCTTACTGTCATTTATAAACTAAGGCTACGTTCACACTGCAGGTCTTAATGCTCAATTCCGATTTTTTGATCAAATCCGATTTTTTTGTCTGCTCGTTCACACTACAAATAAAATGCGACAGCAAACGCTCTCTAGTGTGAACGCTCAAAGCGGCCCGCATGCGCAAAAGAAGATGTCACACACAACGCGCTCTGTTTAGACCCAGAGCAACAGTATTGTTTGACTGATGGCCCTTAATATAAAGACTTCGGTCTTCACGTTTCCCAATTTTTGCTTTAAGTTATTTTGTTATTTACATAATAATGTAAATAACCTAATAATGATCCTTATTGCCGTTTAAGAGAGGAGCGGTGCTTCAAAGGATAGCTGTAGATTTCTGTCAGAATCTGCAGATTATACAGTACAAATAAAATGTTTACGTTGTCTTCCCAACAGTTTCACTGACATCTACACTGGATGGCCAGGAAGCGTTCGCGATGTCTTCTCGGGCGCTTCTCTGGCGCTGATAATTGACTTCAGTCTTGTGTCGGTGACGTAAAAGGCGGATTTAATGCGACTTGACCGTTCAAACAGCAGTCGCTTTCTAAAACATCGGATATGTATCCGATTCAGTACCACATACGAAAGTGACCCAGATCGGATTTGAAAATATCGGATTTGCGCCGTTCACACTGTCATAGCATGATCGGATATGGGTCGCATAGGGTCAAAAAATCGGATTTGATGCGCTTTCGCCTGCAGTGTGAGATGCAGCCAGTTCAATAAAAACCATCAATCTGTAGAGGCTCAATCCTGAGGAGACGACTAACGTAAATTTTCCTTGAAGTCAATAAAGTGGTTTTCGAGGTCAGGAAAGTGGTTAGGAGTAGGAGGTCGGAGGTACTTTTGGAACGCACCCGTGGAGTTGGCAGTAACACGCCTTCAACCGCGGAAGAAGAGACGAAGAAGAAGTGGCAGCTTGTAGGACAACTTTCTACTTCCCGGTCCTCCCAGCTGGGAAACATGTTCCGTGTGGGATCACGGGGACCCGGGCTGAGGGGCCTGCTATCGGACGCGTTAGGGAAATAAAGAGAGTTTTAGACCATGCGGGCAACTTTAATCCGGAGGCTGGTGAAGTTACTCAGTGCTGCCGCTGTGCTGGCCCTGACTGCGCATATCTTAGCGAGCTCACTGAGTAAACAGACGCCAGAGCCCAGCCCGCTTCCCCCGGAGGAGTACCGTCTCGTAGACCCTCAGACATACCGCTACCTCCTCAATCAGCCCAGTGTTTGCAGGCACAGGAGCCCCTTCCTAGTGTTCATGGTGCCCGTGGGGGCTGAGGACGCTGCGGCACGGGAGGCCATCAGGAAAACGTGGAGCGCCTCTGGCCGGGACACCCTCACTCTTTTCTTTGTGGGGATCCCACAGAGGCCACAGATGTCGGCCCTCCAGCAGAAACTGGAGGAGGAGAGCAGGCAGCATGCAGACATCGTCCAGATGAACTTTGTGGATAATTACCACAATCTGACAATCAAAACCATGATGATGATGAGGTGGCTGGCTACTTACTGCCCCGGTGCGTCCTACGCCATGAAGGTGGATGCAGACATCTTCGTTAATGTCTTTTACCTGATCCAGTGGCTGAGGAACTCCCCCAAGGAGAACTTTATCACAGGGTCGGTGATCCAGGATGGCAGGCCACGGCGGGAGCCCAACAGCAAGTGGTACGTGTCAGAGGAGCTATATCCAGAGGAGAGCTTCCCCTCCTACGTGTCTGGAGCCGGTTACGTGTTCTCCGCTGACCTGGCAGCCAGGATCTCCTGGGCCTCCAGGTTTGTGCGGGTCATCCCTTTGGAGGATGTCTATGTGGGCTTGTGCTTGCGGATGCTGGGTGTCAGGCCTGTGTACGCCTACAGCCTGCCGTTCTTCAGAAGCCTGTTCGAAATCAAAAACCTGAAGTACGACAGGTGCACCTTCGCCAAGTTGATCATTGTTAATGGCTTTAAGGCACCAAAGCTGCTGAGGGTTTGGCAGGACTTTGCCAAAAGCCACGAAAGATGCTGATCACATTTACCTGGTGCCTTACCAGGCAATTCTAAGAGAGTAAGTCTGCTGCAAAGGAAAGAAGGCCAGCTGATACACAGAGGTTAGGGTGGCAAACAGCATCAGCTGATCAGTCTATCAACAGAAAAATATCTTCTTGAAAACCTTTCAGGTCTTAGTTTAGACCATCCTCATCAGTCTCCTTACTCAATACTGAATATTTGGCTTTTCATAAACAGAATTATAGCAGATATGTTTTCAAATCTACTAATAAAAAGAAAAATAGGAACATTTTTGTATTAACACTCAACTCAAAAGTTGATCAAGTACTCATTTAGGCTATAAAAAACCCTTTTGTGATAAGTTAAGTGTTTAATTTATTTCTGTGCCAAAAGTTTGGCGGTTCCACCTTGTCAAATGTGACACTTTGATATTTCCTTTTTGTCATAAATTACACTAAACTCAATCAGATGAGTTGCTGAAGAATATGATCGCTGTAGGGAAAGTGAGAATGAAAATGCTTGTTGCCTTAAATTTTAAAACTGATGAGGAAAGAAAGTATGTTGAAAAGTTGCTCAACTCAGACATGTCAGTAACATCAAAGATCAGATGTGCCTAAACACTGATCAGAATAAAACCCTGCCAGTGAGTACTGATCTACCTCCTTGGGCTAAGGCCACGTTAAGACACAGCTTTAAACCTTAGCTTCAGTTAGTAAGTCACACATTCATTTAAAAAATGACTTGCCACCTTTTTTACTTTGTGATATTATTTTTTGACCCAAAAAATAATCAAAGAGTTAAAAATGTGACCGAATTTTCTGTTTGACTCATCAGTGGGCTTAACATCTATGTTACAGTCCCTTCCTTGAGCAATCAACAGTTCTGTGATCTTTGAAAGAAAATGTGTATTCACTGCAGTGCTTCAGCTTCTTTTACTGCTCCTAGCCTATGCCAAAGAAGTGCTTTTATACCAAAGGTTCTTTGAAAGTATTCTCCTGTTAGTGCCTGATGGGTTTAGGGTCTATGTGTACGTGGAGTCACAAAACCCAGCACAACACAGTACTTTTTGCTTCCTGTTTGAATTGGCGACAGGAAGTTATGGTAAGTCGCTCAGTTAAGACTCATGGATGCCCCCTCCTCTGAAGCAGTTTGCCCTTTTTAGAGTTCAGCAGCAAAAAAACAAAACAAAACACAGCATTTCAAGAGAGCAAAGCTGCACTGACACACACATTTCTAAAGCAAAGCGTTCGGTGACTAGTCATGTGTTGTCTGAATTAACATTTTGTTTTTGTGTGTTTGTCAGATTTAGATTAAGATCAAATCACGGTCCTCAGACCTGCACCGTGACGTTTGTTTGTACTGCAGAGAAAAATACCAAAGATACCTCACCAGTGGCTCGTGCACTGCACTTTAAGACGGGTTTGTTGGAATGATTCTCGATGTGTTAAACAAAAATGTCTAAATTGCACTGATTACTTTATACTGCAATCAAGCTATGTGTATCCCGCAGCTTTTTTTGTCAGGGTCCCGTTTACTCATGCATAGTAGTCATACATGACGAACCAGCAGGTGGCAGTAGCGACTTGAAGATGAGAAATCAGGTTTACTGCTGGTGATTTATTGTGATAACTGTAGGGTGTTGCAGGGATAAAATGGTACCTGTGAGTTGGTTCAATATAATTTTTGCCTGTCAAACAGGAAGCCTGATCATCCCTGTTTAATATTACTGCTGCTGCTCCTTTGGAGGCTCCTTTGCCAACCTTGACAAATGCTGTTTCTATTTAGCGTGTATAATTTTTATATAAATAAAAGTTTTGGAAAATGTGGAGTGGGGTGTTTGAGATGTTATGTGTGTTAAATAGTGGAGGAATTTTTCCATTTTTGTTATATTATTGTGCAATAATTTTAAATGTATCCTTGTTTAACCCTATTGGATTTGTTTTGGCCATAATTTATTATTCTGACAAAATATGAATTGAATGTGATTTATTGCAATTCAGAAGTATAACAAGCCATTTGGTGAATAGATTACATGGGCCATCACCTGGAGGCTGGACGCTGGCGGTGATGAAGATGGTGGCTCCAGTGACTATGGGGTGCTTTTGAGGAGGGCTGATCAAATGAGAATCTGAAAGACAGAAGAGCACAGAGAATGGAGGCTTATTGGCTCAGAGAAGAGGGGAAAGAAGTTGATTGGACAAGAGCAGAGATATCAGCATTGAGTCTGACAGTATGGGGAAGTGGAAGTGATCTAAAGAACAGACACACAGCTAGATTAATGTTCTGGTTCTTATATAGCACATTTCTATTTAATTTCAGCACTCAAAGTGCTTTCACGTCACTCACACACACAACATTTATCTAACATTTAAACACGTTCTGGTGGATGCATCAGGGGCAACTCAGGGTTCATATCGACAGGAAGCACCAGAGATCAGTTCCCTAATCTTTGGACTGCTACATGAACTGCTTTACTGCCTGAGCCACAGCCACCTGAGATGTGTGATTACAGTTGTTCCCTATTGAACCTGTGTAGCAGCTTCATTTATTAAACATCCATTGTATTCAGTTTTCTCTTTTTGCTGTAACTAAAGAATTTCTGAATCTGTGTTACCCAGTAATTAAATGCGTAAATCTTTATATTTATGGCATTTTGAACGAGTTTAAAAAGTCACTACAAGTAGGTCTGAAGTTCTTTGGCACATTGTTGGCAATGGGTAAAATGTAAATAAAAAGAAAATTCAGTGTCTTCTGAATCTATTATATAAGATTCAGATATATTTGTCAGAAAACCACATGAAGTTTGAGGAAAGTGTCATGTAGACAACAGCATCTTTCATCTTCAGAGAAGTCACGTTACAGTCAGTGTTGTTTCAACCGTATCCTTAAATGCATCTTATTCAGCCAAGCATGCAGCGACACACGCAAGCACCAGTGTGGACAGAAGCACATGGCTACAACATCGCCTTCCTTACCAGTGCACCTCACTGCAATTCCTCTCAAAAGAAAAACACGTTGGGGTATTTTCTATGGTGCTTCAATGGGGAATAAAGCATAGGTAGCACTGAAAATCCAGCCTGGAGAGATTGAGAGCGCAGATGAAGATGGAAGTACCCAACAGTAGGAAAGCAGCAGGAAGAAGCTGAGAGTGAGAATGAGGAACTTGCTGGTGGTAAAAATAGAAGCACTGAAGCAGAATTAAAGCAGGATGTTTGATCGCTTCATTTATAGCTGGAATGTACTGCTGCTGGCAGACCTCTGTGAAAACAACCAGTGTGATGTGGAAAAAACTTCAAATGTTATGTATTGTAATGATTTTACAGATAATCCTAGAGGTGTCTGTAACTGTAATATTTCTAGCAACACTTTAACACATCAGAACGGGGCATCCTGTCCTGTCTGATTAGACGATAATGTCACTTTTTGATGTATATTTTATGCAGGTTTTGATTGGTTGTGATTCAAGGTGTGGCCTGTGAAATTTTTGAGATTTCCACGAATTAAAAATTGGGCATAAACACAGCTGCAGTTTAGACCCACTGAGGGCTCTGTACACTGCTCAAGGTGCAGACAACAAAATTTAACAGGTTCTCAACCACTCCACCAATTTTTATTCAAATCAGAAAGGTTGTTGTTGTAGCACGTACAGATGGACAAACAAATGGGAAATACAGCAACACCCCTGGTTGAAGTAAAGGAAAAAAAAAATCTCATGTTAGATAAGTAAACAAGAGAAAAAAAATGCAATTAGCATTTGATGCTGTGTAATGACTGGAGTGCTGACTGATGATTGCAACAGCACCGGTGAGTGGGCTCAGAAATGGACAGCTGAGTCTCCATGATTCACCAGCATGGCTGATTGTCAGCAGATGGCAGCCTCACAGCAAACCTGCAACACCCACAGCAGCCTCGCAGCTGACAGTCTGCATGTATTTTTTTCCCTTCTGAGCTGGCAGTAAACCAAACGCATCGCTCACAGGGAGAAGACGGTGCCAGTGTTTCTTTCAAGAAGCTCGACACACCTCTTGTGAACACACAGATATTCGTCAGCTTCTGGGCGACACGCCTGTGTGCAAGCTGACCTTTAAACTTTAAGGTAGACACAGTTTTTCATAAAGACTACATCAGATAGTTTTCAACAAGCTTGAAAGTCAGTATTTGGTACGATCACCTTTATTCTTTATCACAGTCTAAACTCTCTTAGGCAAGCTCTCCTGTAATGTCTTTAAGTAGTCTTCAGGAATAGTTCTCCAGGCTTCTTGAAGGACAATCAGAGCTCTTCTTTGGATGTTTCTGCTTTTTGTTGCGTTCACACAGCTTCAATAATGTCTGAGCTCCGGGAAGGCCAACCCATGACTGATAGTGTTCCACTATGTATTTTCCTATCTAGTTATTGGAAATCAGATGTTTTCCAGATGATATCACATAGTAGATCAAAAGATTGTTTTCTTCATCCCTAATTCAATCAAATTGAACAAGATCTCCAACACCACAGACTGAAATGCAGCCCCAAAATCTGACAGAGCAGCCACTGCGTTGTACAGATGGCTGTAAACACTTTATCCTGAGCTTACATATCCATAACAGTTTGAAAAAAAATCACATTTGGATTCATCACTCCATGAAAACATATGGCTTCTTGACAGTCACCTTTCCACTGACACCATTACTGATGAGGCTTGGTGAACACTAGACGAATCAGCTGAAGGTCCAAATGCATCCCTCGGTCCGGTGTCAGGTTTTTGCTTTTGCTCTTTTGTAAGCACAGGCCTTTAGATACTGTTCTTCTGCTGTAGGTGTTTTTTTAGGCTTGCCACTTCTTCTTTTGTCCTCCAGTTGACTTTGACTGTGCACCACGATGACATATGCCAGGCTTTCAGTTAATAGCTCTTTTGGAATTACCCTTTTTTTTGGAAATACTATTTTATGTCTGTCAGACTGCGTGGCATTTATTTTAAATAAACAAATTGGAAAAAAATATCAAACTATCTAGATGTACATGCTGTTAAAAGTGGAACTTTTTACGGTGTAAATATAACATATTCACTGCGTTGCTTTGCTGTGGTGGGGACCTGGTCTTGCGTTTTGAAGCTGGCATTATGTAATTTGAAATGTAAATCAGACTAAAGGGACTAACAGGACTACCCTGTAGGGATTCCATTTTGAGATAATATGTCAATAAATAATTTTCTGGTGCTATCAAGTATGTTAATCCACAAATTATGTTGCTAATTACCTTGATTGATAGTGACAGAAAAGGGTTAGCCTAAATGATCCTGCATTGTTGTGTTACCCTTGTCATATACAGACCCCCGCGCCCCTACGTCCATTTTTCGTTTATTTGTGCGCGGTCTGCTCCAATCTATTCATTTCCCACACTGACTGAGTGGGAGTTTATGCTCTGAGCCAGTGCTCAGCATTGTTCAAAACACTCCCACCTCTGTGCTGTATCTAGATACTTCTCATCAGTACGAACAGCTGTGACAGCACTGTATCCTTTATAGTCAGTATTGTTGTGAAGACTCAGCACAGGCTTGCAGGGCCCTTGAAGTACAATAGTTGCCCTCTAACAATACATTTAAATCCAGTGTGTCATAAAGCCTGTAAAAAACAAAAATCGCCACTGTATGTGAAAATGTTCATCATTTCCTCAGTATCCTCCCGACATCAACACAGACTCTTTGAGGCTGTCTCCCTGCCTGCCCGCGCTGGCCGGCCTCCTCTCCTCGTGGGTGGAGTTTCATCCACCGACGTGCTGGTGAAGCTGGTTCCTAAGACAACACATGAAACATGCATTTGCATTAGCGAGGCTCGTTTCAACACCGACGCCGTGAGCTGACTTTACCACCCGCTCTCTGTGAAGAAAGCTACCAAAACAACCGCGACTTCCTGCACACACAGCGAAGTAGAGCGGATATATGATGCCAAGTATTTCAGCGACACTTTAAAGCAGATCTGCACATCGACGCTGGGACTCAGTCTATGTAAGTGCTGGACGATTTAACAGAAAGTGGGTTATGTTAAACGGTTAAAACTAAAGTCTGTCTGCCACTAGGCGCGAAATGCTCAGCACCATCCGAACTTAATATTGACTACAATGGAAAACACCAAACTGTGATAGTGCCCACTGGTTTCACCCAGGGGTAGTCATTCATAGTGCGGTCCCCAGAAACTCTGAAGAGGGGCCTTTTTTTTTTTTTTTAACTTAAAGTCAGATAGAAGAGAGAAAAAGGAAACGTGCTTTGTGGTTAGGTGTGCACATCCTTAAAGCTGTCTTAACAGATATTTACAGTTCAGCAACAGGACTAATTATAATGTGTGATATCAAATTTGTTTAGCATGATCCATTTAAAAGTGTCACCTCAGCTTTCTAAGCTGAGAAATGAAACCAGTGACAAAGTTCCAAAAAGCTGCAGTTCCTCTAATGTCCACTTGACTTTGACTCTAAAAATGAGTCAATCCCCATAGAATCTTATTTCAAAGTGGCCACTTTAAACAGGATTCAAACACATGCGTGTAACATGGTACAAAAAATGTTGGCCTTTATGGATAGTTTTCATTTTTATGGCAACTCTTTAACGAGTGAATTCTGCTAAATGAAGCTGCTAAAGTGGATGTCTCTGCTGTGTTTGAGCTGTTGTTCTCTGACAAATGATACGGCCTAGTGTGAGGTACTGACCATTCAACTGCACTTGTACAGTTTATGGATGCTGCTTGTTACTCAAGCTTGCTAGCGTTAGCTGCTAATTTTTACACTGGTCAAAATATTGATATTCCAATTAAAGTACAGAATTCAAAATCAAGGTTAATGTTTTTGCTTTTTAAGGTTTATAACTCTCCTGGAAAGAAAAAAAAAATCACTCACTCAAATCACTTATCACTCTCCTGATAAGGAAGGATCACAGGTCACATGGGTTGTGAACCACTGTGACAGTGGTGTTAATTCAGCATCATGAATAATAATAATCATAAACAGGAAGGTTTGTATGTCTTTTTGTGCAAAGGCACTGATTTTGTTTCTTTAGCAGTTTTTAACCATAATGCATGAAGTAACAGCTGTCTCGTAGTTCAGTGTCCTGTCTGTCAATCAGTGTTTGTGTTATTGTTCAGTGTTGCTTGCTTGCTTGTTTTTCTCTTGTCTTGTCTTTGTAAAAAGCTGTGTGTGTGCATGTGTGTGTGTGTGTGTGTGTGTGTGCTTTTTGACTGTGGTTCCTCCTCAGTTTCTGCAGAAGCTTCTGGATTTGTTCCACTACAAGATGCACATGAATAGCTTATTAAATCAGTGGAGTAAGTATTAAGATTTTTAATGAATTTTCATTCCATTTTCATGTAGTTTGCCAATGGATTGTAAATGCAACGACTCCAAAGCAATCTGACAGTGAACTGAGAAATCACAACTTTATCGCTCGTCTCGAGCTGTGATGTGTTTCGGTGCTGCACTGCTTACTGTAATGTCAGTGTGTCACCTCCACAGCAGCGGCTGTATGTGTTAAATAAGTGTGTATTTGATGGACTCTTGCTTTAAGCAGGTGAATCTGCTGTAGGGTATTTGTGTCTAGCTCTGCAATGTTCTGAAATAGAAAGACTTTGCTCAGCAGCAGCCTGTCTAAATGTGTCCAGAGATGGTGCGTTACAGAGGTGTCCCGTTACCTGGGCTCCATGTTCAACACATCCTGTGTAGGCTTGAAGTTACCAGCTACAAATGTCTGCATTTGACTTGGTGACTTGCTAAAATAACATGTCAGTTTTTATAAAATGATCACAATAATCTGCATTGGAGCAGGTTAGAAGTTACAGTGATGATCCATCTGTGTTAAAAAGAGCCAACTTTGTGACACTGAAAACCTGTTAATGAATTGCTAACCCACGATGCGATGAACTTGTGGTTTGTTCTTACCTTTTGAAATGGCTGCTTTAAGAACAGGAACCAGGTTTGTGAACACTCGCAGTCGACTTGCATTGCATGCATTAAGACGGCTTTGTCAGTCTGCTATCAGGCTGCTGTCAATGTGCACTCAGTTTGCGATTAACTTGGGTCAAGCTGTCAAATAACTGCAACTGCATAGTACTGTTTTTAGTAATATGGCGAGTAGCATCGATATGAAAATTATGAATCGCTTGAACAGAAATGAACTACAAATACTTAACTAATTACTCCTTACTTTCCTCCACAAATTGTAATTTAGTTGCTGCGAAATGGCATGGGTAGAACTTGACAGGTGAACTAACTTTTATTTAAGGACCTACCCACTTGACATCTTTGAAGTTATATAGGCTTTGAGGCGAGTGACTGAACTCACTACCAATTTGAGCAAATATACTGCTTTCCCACATTAGCTGTGATAGCTGGAATAACTAGCTTCTGTTGGCTAGTTTCACTTGTGATCTTTTTGCTCTTTAATCATATTTAATGTAGTAGAGGTGAGTCTGAATTATCAACACTGTATTCCCTGTCAGTGTTGGTCAAGTTAGTTGAAAATAGCAATAGTAATTGCTAATTTTCAAAAGTAATTAGTTACTTATTACTTAGTTACTTTTTAAAAACACGATATACAACCTAAATAGGTAATAAAGCAATAGACCTGTCAGCCCAATTCTATTTTTTTTCCTGCATAATCCATCATATAAAATTGAATCAAATGAAAAAGTCTCTTTTTAAAATGTGTTTTATTGGCTTTAATCTTTTAATTTTATGCACATTAAATCACGCAAAAAATTAAATTATATGCAGAAAATAGGTTTAACATTTAAACCTATTTTCTGCATATTCCAGCATATAAAATAAAATATTCTTTCTGTGTTTACACTCACTCTTTCAAATTGATGCAAGTAAAACAGAACAAAAATAAATAAAATGAAAAGATTCAGCAACACTAAGTCCTGCTGCTCTTAAATCTGTTGTCAGCTGTTTAGCAGGAGTGGGGCTGGTGGAGGTTTGCTCGGTGTCGCAGTCATGTCAGCGGGGGGATCCAAGGGTTTCTCTGTGAATGTCACATTCCCATGACAGTGTGCTAGGTGCTTGCTCAGATTTGAAGTTTCATTTTTCGCTGTAGAAAATTTTCTTTCCATGCAGAGTGTACAGCGGTGTATACTTTTTTACTCAGAGTAATGTCAGTACTTCCAAGCTTTAAATGCTGCATGGTCGTACTCTGTTGATCTACACACACTGCCACAGAGGTTGCACGCACTTACGCCATTGTCATGAGACACTCTCACAAACAAAATCACAGTTTAGTAACGCAATAATGCAGCGTGATTACGAGAAAGTAACAAGAATCGAATTACTTTTTTCGCAATATTAATCCCTTACCTAACTCGTTACTTGAAAAAAAAGTAATTGGATTACAGTAACACATTACTTAACACGTTACTACCCATCGCTGTTCCCGATTCTGTATCCTCTATGGTACTTAAGCTCATAAGTAGACCAAGCTAGTTGGCTTGATAGATAGTTAAAAAAATGTTCTATTAGTGTAAATAAATTGATTTGGAATAGGTTTGGCTTTGATGTTGCTCTAGCTTACAGGTGCTAATTGGCAAGCAAACTTTTAGAGTTTTAACATTATTTCTTGAAAGGTGTTGCAGCAGAAACAACATCAGTGGTGTGAAATATAAAAAGAACTTTGCAATAATATTGCTATTATAACATGAACGTAGTAAAATACAATTTTATTTATAGATTTTTTTCTGTTTCTTCATTTATTTATTTAGCTTTGAACTCTTTGGGTCACATAGATAATTGCACTGAGTTGTTTTCCCATTAACATTGTTGTCCCTGAACTCCTGGGTTTGTCTCTATTACGTATTACAAAAGATATGAGATTGTGCTAATCGCTGGCCAAAACAAACACCTACATCTGAGAGTTACCATTTGACATTTTAGACAAAGAACCATATGTAAATATAATAAAATATTTTACTGCTTGCTCACACAGAATTTATATCTGGAGTTTTTCTGATGACGTCAGGCTTATCGTCTTTTCAATGGTCTGTAGGGGCAGTGAGTTAAATAAATTTGTATTTAGATTATTATCTCTGTTAGCCGCTGGCGTTGTATTCGGCGTGCTGTTTCAAGGTCAGAATTTTACCGCCTTTTTGTTTACCTTGACAGTTCTGCTACATGGCTGGGAATCTTGGCTGCTTAGCTGCAGGGCTCATGTTTGCACTGATTGTGTAGGATGGATCATCCATTTAAAAAGCAGTTCTTAAGTAATCAGTGGTGTTTGCCTCAATCTATCACTGAGGGAAGGATTTCTTTATAAGCAGACTTGCTGTGGTGGAGAGGATTCTATGATATACACACGTGTTTTGTTTTATTTTTATATAAAATCATACTGATGAGTGCATCTCGACTAAACGAAGTGCTCACCTTGCAGGTGGCAAATGCTGAGAATGTCATCTCTAAAATCTCATGTTGTTTTCCTCATATCGCCTCTCTGTGGTGTAAAATATCACAGAAAGTAACATCAGTACTTTTTAATGTGCTAACATTTCGAAAGGGTCTTTCTAAACCCAAACCATAATTTTTTACTTATACCAACTAACTAGTTTTGATGCATCAGCCAACATCAAGTAGTTTTTATGCCTTAGCCAAAGAGCTGAGTTAGGTGGCGAGTTTGTTTATCCCCTTGTCTCTCTTATAGAAAGTTTAATGCACATTATCCACGTTGTGAAGCTTGAATGTGAGCATGTTTACTGTAGCCATCTTTGATTTTGAAACATCAAAAATTTACAAAGTGATTGCCACACTTGATCCAGTCAGACAACTCGTCTTCGTTGGTCTCTTGGGGGTGGAAATGCACTTTTTTCCTATATAGCCTGAAGTTGACAAACATTGATGTTTGGCTCAAACACTGGATGAGTTCAGTGTTGCTGCAGCGATGGTGGGAGGCAGTAGAAGGGGACAGAGATACATTGTGCTGTTTCCACATTTTGTATGACCTCCAGCGCTGTTTTCAGCCCACTCAGCCATCTTGTACAAGTGGTGTCTTGTTCTCAAATGGCATTTTTCTTTTTCAGAAGAAAATATAGAGTGAGGCATCTCTCTGCCCAGTGTTTCCATAAGCGGTTGGGTGTCACTCTGTTGTGGAATAGAATCTTCACTGTTTGTTTGCATGCCATGCATAACCACAGAGAGAAAGAGACACACTCGCTAATATGGTGAGACTCCCAGATGGCCTGATTGCATTTGGAAAAACCAAAGAATTTTGGTTGATCAATGAACATTAATTGACATTTTATAGACCATGCGCATAGACACATGCAATCCTTTTACGCCACTGTCTGCATGGGTACCATATGGGTCACATGTGCTGGCGAAAGTTCTCAGTGGATCTATGGTTACAATCAACTTATGACAGTGCAACAGCTTGAGGTGGTTTTTAACAAATGCCATTTTAAGTGTTTATTTTATTTGCTTTTCAGTTAATTAGTTTACTGTTGCTTAATTGGGGGTTTGGTTGCTACATGTTACCATGTCTTAAATTAAATCTTATATTAATATAAAATATACCCTTCTCTTTTAGCTCAATAAATCAAAATGCATGCTGTGTGTAAGCATTGTGTAAAATATCTTGTCTCTACTGTGAGCTTCACCTGCCATTCCTGTACACAGCAGAGCTTTTCACAAATACCAAGAGGGGAGAAAAGTTTAGGAGACGATGTAAGTGCGTGTCTCTGCAAATGCACAGTCACATTATGCTTCGATTTAGGGAAAGAAACAAAAGAAAAGAATCAGTCGGGCAATCGGAGATCAGTGTCTGAGTGCTGATCAGTGTCGCTGTTCCACACACATTAATTTCAAAGTAGCACAGAATTCTCAGTACAAACCTGTGTACTTTCACTTATGCACAACGGTGTTGCAAGGTGTGACATAAAACCGCAACGAGGCAGATTCAGTTGATTTTGAATCTTGTAATAATAATTTCATGCATCAACGGGGAAATGAAATTTTCAAAACATTGCCTTGCCTGGCCAGCTGTTGCCACTGGCAATCACTGATAGCTCGTCCTTGAGGCAGTGACGCAGCTACTAAAACAACAGATACTACAAGAGATGCCAAATAAACTTATTTAAACATTTATATATACTCTTCAGTGTTTTACTGTTTAATCTCACAACAAAATGAATCTTGTTCTCCAGCGATGATTTAACCTGGCTAGACCAAATTGCCTACATAACTGTTTGTCTGTGTCTGGCCCCTCCCCCTGTATCATCTCATCATTTTTGTGTAGTCATTACCAAGAGATTACGCTTAAATGTGCGCAACTATGGAATTTTCTTCCATG